CTTTCATATAACATTCTTAAAATCCGTAAAGACTAAAGAAACTAGGGAAATTTACCTTTTGAATACAAAATCCAATGATCATCCATCACATAACAGTCCAATAACGAGTTTGGTTCTTTTCGAGTATGATATAACTCATTTTCACCTACATAAAAACTCTATTTCTAACAAACTAAGGGCTCTTGTTTTCCCACATCCATCGAGTTCACGTGCATTGTGTTTTTGAATGATCTATTTACATTCTAGAAACCCAATGGAAAGCCTTAGATGATGAGACATGATTTGTTCGTTAGCAAGGGTTCATGATTAGTTCAATTGCAAAAATAAATTTAGGTACTCCCATTATTGTTATTATTAATTTTAAGAAACTGAAAGGCTGCCTTTCAGACTAAGGGAGTAAACCAATAAATACAGACTTCAAATGTCAATCATCGGGCAAAACAAAAATCATGAACATTTAAAGCTCTCCAACTTAATCATATAGCTAAGTTTTCAAGAGAGTTCTGGTTGGCAATAAGTATCCATTTTATGCAAATAATTTAACAAAATCCAGGTCTCTAGCAGCTTCACATGAAGAAGTGCATGGGATGTCAATTCGAAAAAGTACTAGTTCATCCTTCAAAGAGAACATGTTCCATCACGAGTTTCCTTACAAAACTATATAACAGTTGGATCTATTATACTTTGTATGTATATCATAGAATATCGCACAATATCCACAAAGGCTTACATTCAAGTTCCTTTTGGTATCTGGACAAATTACTCTTGCCTTCTTGTATTTTTGATTCCAGCAATGTCACCTCATTTCTAGCTTGATCAGCTTTTCTTTCAAGGTCATTATATTCTTTTTTGAGAGAACTGCAGGACAAAATTATATCAAGACAAACTGAACATGTTAGGATATAGATAAGAATACAATATTAATTGACACGTCTCAGAAGAAAGACAACTCCCAAACATTACAGGACATGAAGACTTATCTAAATACAATTTGATCAAAAGAGGTGTTGTGAATGTTACAGTTTCACCATCAAATATGACATAATTATCCTATTCATCAAAAGCTTCTCTAACTCAATACTAACTAACCAAAAGATTAGTAGAACAACCTCCCCTGATTTCTTGTTTCGAAGACTGCAATAATTTCAACACCCAGACACTAATCAAAGGTGACTTTAGTCAAAAGTCAATATGACAGAAAAAAAATGCCTTCTAATCATTTGCAGTTGTTAGTGAGTACAAAGCAATACATTTATCAGCAAGGCTCGTGAGCGAAACTAGATAACTTCTGTAAGACATTCCCCAACTATATTGAGCGATAGCAATAGATTCAGTAACTTCAGCATACTGCATATGGTACATTATACATATTGTAATTAAGTTATATCAGCCTAGAGAATGTGTTTCCCAGAACATATGTGTTTCCCATCATTTATAACCAGCTTAAACCATAGTTTCTCACCTTGGTGCAACTCCATAACAAAAAGATGGTAAAACTACCGCCTCATTTTTCTAGACTTTTTCAGGTAAAAGTTAAGAAGGCTGGAAAAAGAAAAGTCACTTTTTTCCTAGAACAGTTTTAGAAAAGCCAAATAACATGTCTCCAAATTGAATGGAAAACGACAAAACCAACCAAACAGCCCATTGAGAACCACGTCTAGCTGCCAAACCACTTTCCAGAAACCCAAATGGACACTCCAGCATTGTCTAGCAGCCCATCTTAGCTCCCTCATTTAAAAATATAAATAATTGTTAACATGTTTAAAGTTAGTACAAAGTGCAGGAAACAATGTGATTATAGCAAGGCTGTCAAAACCGGACCGGTCATTGAACCGGTCAAGCTACTGGTTCAATGGTTCATTGGTCCGACCAGTGGTTAAACCGGTTGGACCGTTATTTAATATATTAATATTTTAAAATATATATAATATTTCATAAATATGGTTAACTTAATTTTTAAGTTATTTAATTTAGTGATATTTTAAAACATATTATACTTTATAAATATTAAATACAATTGACTTAATTTTTAAAAGATTGGTCCAACCATACATACATTAAGCAATAAAATAATAAACAAAAATATGAAGAAGGATTCCTCCCACTCCCAAATTAAACACTAACAATAATAGGACAAGTAAAAAATATAGCAAACGAAACTTCGTGCAGGATGTCACAATTCAACAGTGGCAAATTGGAATTCTTACTAGGTCCCACATTGGCTATCATTTGAACAATAGGAATTCTTACTTTGTCCCACACAGTGTTATTAATGGCGGATGGCTGTACATGGCGTTTTGCCAAAATTCCGCCATTGCGGCCGCCATGGCAGTCTATGGCGCCGCCATGGCGGTCTATGACCGCCATCATTAACAAATTTTGCATAGCGGATTATCAAAAATCCGCCACGCCATACCGCCATGGCCGCCATTTGATAACACTGGTCCCACATCGGCTATCATAAGTTCATAACAGGTAAGGTTATCTATAAATGTGTTAGAAATTATGTGGTGTACAAAGAAAAAACAGACCGGTTGAACCAAGCGGGAACCAAGCGGTTTTTGGACGGTTTTGTCCGGTTCAACCGGCAATTGACCGATTTTTGACCGGTTCTTCTAACAGCTGGTTCATTTGAGAGAATCGAACCGCTGGAGTGACTGGTTCCCGGTTCAACCGGTTGGACCGGCCGGTCCGGTCCGGTTTTGACAACTATGAATAAAACTGTTATTAAGTTTTAGATTAGTAATATGGAAACATATTTATAGTAATTAATATAACAAAGGAACAAAAAATTAAACTGGTAAGTTGAAAACATAATTGATACTCATTGGTTAAAAGATGAAAAATGAATGTTAACTAAAAAAAAAATCACCTTGCCTAGTTGGCAGATGATGTGGAAATAGATGATGTGGAAATCGATCTTGGCTGTGTGTCACTCTGAATCTCGGAATTGGGGCTACATGTCAGTCGAAGCATATTGGCTTACACTTAGACTTGAGAATTTTGTATTTATTTATAGGATTTATATATAGGGAGGATTGTGGGAATGGAGTGTGAAGAGAGGAAAAAAAGTTACTATATACATGGTTCTGAGTGCAGTTACATTGTTATCATTGGTGGATTGCGGCAGGCTGAAAAGCATGGCGGCCTGCCACTGCCATAACCGCCAAAAATTTCCGATGGCAGTTAGGCAGAAATACTCCATTCCCTACTGCCATGGAGCCACAATGGCGGAAATTTGACAAGACTGCATAACTATTTGTGCGATAAGTGATATCAGGTCGCAAAATCATTATCTGGAGCCCAATAGCCTAGGTGGAAGAAGGCAATAGCCTGGAAACGTGAGGCGACAACAACTCGAAAACATGTCATGTACTTGCACTCTTCTAGAAATTGATTACAGAAATTATAAATAATATATAATAGAAACTAGTTATATTTAATTTTAACCCATACCCTATAATCCATAGTTGTCAAAACCGGACCGGACCGGCCGGTCCAATTGGTTGAACCGGGAACCAGTCACTCCAGCACTCCAGCAGTTCGATTCTCTCAAATAAACCAGCTGTTAGAAGAACCGGTCAATTGCCGGTTGAACCGGTTAAAACCAGACAAAACCGTCCAAAAACCACTTGGTTCAACCAGTCTGTTTTTTCTTTGTACACCACATAATTTCTAACACATTTATAGATCACCTTACCTATTATGAACTTATGATAGCCGATGTGGGACCAGTGTTATCAAATGGCGGCCATGGCGGTATGGCATGGCGGTATGGCATGGCGGATTTTTAATAATCCGCTATACAAAATTTGTTAATGATGGCGGTCATGGCGGCGCCATAGACCGCCATGGCGGCCGCAATGGCGGAATTTTGGCAAAACGCCATGTACAGCCATCCGCCATTAATAACACTGTGTGGGACAAAGTAAGAAATCCTATTGTTCAAATGATAGCCAATGTGGGACAAAGTAAGAAATCCTATTGTTCAAATGATAGCCAATGTGGGACCTAGTAAGAATTCCAATTTGCAACTGTTGAATTGTGACATCCTGCACGAAGTTTCTTTTGCTATATTTTTTACTTTTGTCCTATTATTGTTAGTGTTTAATTTGGGAGTGGGAGGAATCCTTTTTCATATTTTTGTTTATTATTTTATTGCTTAATGTATGTATGGTTGGACCAATCTTTTAAAAATTAAGTCAATTGTATTTAATATTTATAAAGTATAATATGTTTTAAAATATCAATAAATTAAATAACTTAAAAATTAAGTTAACCATATTTATGAAATATTATATATATTTTAAAATATTAATAAATTAAATAACGGTCCAACCGGTTTAACCACTGGTCGGACCAATGAACCATTGAGCTTGACCGGTTCGATGACCGGTCCGGTTTTGACAACCTAGGTTTTATTTGTTATCAGTTTTTCATATATAATATATGAAATTAATAACTTCTTTCACGATATTTGATTTGGCACTCAAATTGCATATACAAAATCAAAAATTAAGTATATATATCTATATAAATAAAATTTAGTTAACATATCAATCTTAATAGAATAGTAACAAAATGTGTCAGCAAGTTATCTTATAAAAGGAACTATAAATATATAATATATAAAACTATATCATATAATAATAGTATAATACTAATGGTGCATTTTCAACATAGGGTAAAAAAAATGTGCCAAAATAAATATGAATATAACAAGAAAAATAAAGTAATAAACATTACATATTTAAAAACATGTACCAAAGAGGACAATCTAATAGGTGGTAGCTGTAAGGTGTCTCTGATTTAAAAAATGTTAAGAGAGAGAGAGAGAGAGATTTAATGTTATTATGCAAATACCGCATTTCATGTTATAAGAAATAAATATATGCAAATTTCATATTTGAAAATAAAAAGGCATTCGTTAGATTTCATGAATCTATAAAATATTAAATCAATACAAATTAAATAATATAAAAAATCATCAAGTATTATAAACTGAAAATACAATAATCAAACAAACTCAAATAAAATAATCAATGTTGCTACAGTCTAATCAGATTAAAGAATAGAGAACATAACAACCAACCTGCACACACCAGTGTCAATCATATGCATTTTCCAATGTTGAGAGTTTAGAGCAGAAAATGTTGGGCTAGAAAAGCAATCAGACTGCTTGAAGGTAGTATAACATATACTTCAGTTTCAAAGTCCCACCAGTTCCAATAGTGTCAAGAACAATCTCTAGTCTCTATAATATTGTAACCTCCAGCTCCACAATAAGCAAACTTAAGTTTTAATGGGAAGAAAACAGATGATGCAGAAGTATGAACTTCTGTTCTGATAATCCCCAGTCAGAAATTTTGTTTGAAGAAATATTTTATTGCTATTTTAATGTGACGACTATAATAACTGATTAAATTAAATAAGAATCCTCATAAGATACTTACTTAATATATTCTAGAGAAAGCACCAACCACATTAGGCATGCAAGATGATGCTTAATTCACCCCACCCAAGAGAAGGTAAAAAGAGGAATCACATCGAACATACCTCTGAACCTGAACAATTTCCTTTTTCAAATCCCTGTCAGGTGGCATCCTTCCCTTCAGCACACCTCTAATTCTTTCCTTGCATTCATCCACTCTGGACATTAGAGGTAGAATTATTATAATTATTAATAATAATAATAATATTATTATTATTATCATCATCATCATCATCATCATCATCATCATCATCATCATCATCATCATCATCATCACCATCATCACCACCACCATCATCACCACCACCACCACCACACCACCACCACCACCACCACCATCAAAAGAAAAAAGAAATTGCAACTAGACAGGTTGGAAACAGATTCAAAGCAAAATTAACAGAGACTTGCTTTCTTCTATGTGTCTTCTTCTTGGTTTCCAGCTCAGCTTTCTTGACAGAAAATACAACTCTGTCATGGGAATCAGCATTCATAGCATCCCTTTCCTTATTAAGAGCATCGAGTTCTTGTTGCACGGTTAACCTCTCACATTGCTTTTGTCTTATGGTCATGTCAAAGTCTTTTTCAACGACTTGAGTAGCTTTCCTTTCCACCTCAATTTTCTGCATAACTAGGAAGATGGCATTAGTTCTACTTCTACACCAAACATAAAGCGGTACTTCTGAAAATTGTAGCACAACAGCCAATTACCATGTTTTTCTCTCTCTCATCTAGGATGGTAACATCAACAGAAGCAATCTCAGCTTCAAATGAATCACGTTCATTCTTCTTATCTTGAATGCGTCTCAAAATGCCATTCTGCAACTCTTATAAAATTGATTACCATAAAATGGCAATCACAGAGAAAGGAGATAAGGATAGAAATTGTAATCACAGACAAACCTTAATTTCTTCTTTAGCCTCTTTTTGGGCCTCTACTTCTTTCCAACGGTCATTTACATGAGTGTACTGCTGCCGAGCTGCACTAAGCTCCACTTCAATTGATTCCTGATACAAGTAAGATGCCAGAAAATGTCCATCATCAAAATGATAAAAACATCAGAAGCTAGAAATAAAACGTAAAATAAAACAAAAAATGAAAAGCTTGTGTGTCAATAAAGAAACCAAAAGTTTGTATTCACTAAACCATTTTCCAGAACTTCATAGAATACTACCAAAACAGCATTGAAGACAATGAACTCTAACAAGATGAACAAGGTTGATCTTGAATTCAATGATTGAGTGAGATGTAACCTAAACAAACTCCAAGGAATGCCAATCTCATTATGTCTTAATATTCAGAAGACAATACCTACAAAGTATGTTGTACATGGCCTTTATGTAACGTCCCAAGAAAATTATGAATAAATCAACTGAATTTCAATTTGTTACCATCAAGCTACATAAATGAAGCCAAAGGGTTGGAAGCACTATCCAAATTTGAGAGTATTTGGGAATACAAAGGTCCCAGTTGGTTGTTTCTCCCTTCTTGAGTGCTGTAAGAAGGTAGATCATGGAAAATGTAGTTTCAGTTCTGCACAAGACCTAATTCAGGTTCGGTGGGTCAATAAAACTAAGGAGGTGCTTGGTGGGTGGTTCGGGGAATAGGAAATGATAGGTGATGTTTGGTACATGCATCACTATGGGTTTGTTTGCCAGTTCAGGTCAATGAGCCAAACCCGTCACACAAGGGGCATGAAACCCATAGACATAGTGCTCTGTTTCCATTCCCTTTGACTTTCCCAGTCCTTAAATTGTACCAAGCACCTGAAGTTACATATTTGGGAGGCCTACACCCCATATAAACTGTCTACAGTAGACTACCCCTCAGCCCGTAAGTCCTAGCCCAACATTAGAATTCTAGCTCCACCAGTCACCATAGTTGGTACAGGCAGCAAAAGCAGCCTGAGAAATGCCTAGCAGTGGCAGTGCCTTGCACCTCGCCTCATGGCAGGTATAGCAGTGGCAGGCCTCAGCCAACATTTTCTGCATTGTTAGATTTTAAAATTTTTGGAAGTATTAGTTATTGTTCAACACTTCCCTGAAGTGTTTGGTTTCTCAAAAGTGAATGCAGCTTAATTTACTTACGCAAACATGTATTCAAGTAATCTAGGGTGTAGCGAAAAAACGCATTACACTATATTAGACAAACTACTGTGATTCACTTTACATTGACTCATGTTCAGATGCAGGCTCTATCTTTCAAGCAAAAGATCCTCTAAGCAGAAAAACAAACTATGTAAAATGAGACTGGGGCATATGTTCTCATGCATGAACTACCTTGTAGGGGATGCTTTAACACTGACGAACTTCCTAAGTACTCCTTATTGAAGTTCCCTAGCCTCCATGATTCATTAATACTCTCAATATTGATATTTTATCTAATTTTGTTGTATAATCTTACGGAAAATATGAGTGTATTTACCTCAAAATTAAATATAAAGAATCAGAGTAACTTAATTTAAAATTTATCACATATAACATCTCGACTACCATTCCATCACACATTAACTCGCAATCCTTCATATTTTTGCATATTTTCAAATTAAGGGAAATGTTTTAAAGGAGAATGTTTCAATAACTATATATATAATATATATCCAAAAGAATATTTTATATTCGTGTTTAAGTTCGTAGGTCTAGTAGTATCTACTTAAGGGTAAACTAACAATTTAATAAGCTTAGAGGAGTATACTGATATTCAGAAGTCCAAGTCTCTAAGTGTTCATTACCAACATACACAACTAATTGGTCTGTGTGCCAATGAACTTGAAGTGTGGGCAAATATAATTTTCGTAATTTATTACATGCATTTCTACTCAAACTCTACAAGATAGAATGGAGTGTTTAGCACATGTTAGCAGCGCGACAGATACTCGCAGCATGCGACCGTGCAGGCTGTTATGGCACTTCTGCCAATTGCTTAAGAAACATATAATAAGCCATTATGAGAAGTGCACCTTCCTTCGGACCAAATCCTCTCTTAAGTCCCTCATCTTTGACTGGATTCGACCAGTAAGGTCTAAGGCAGCCTCGTTACTTAAGGGACCACTTGGTAAAGAACCCAAATTGTGTTTTTTGAATAGGCTCCGAATCTTCAAATCCCTTTCATCTTTCAACAATATGTGAGCCTGCAAAAGCCCAAAAAAAAAAGAGACAGATAATAATTCAAGAAAGAAAAATTTTAATGAAGCATAATGTAGAACATTGTGTTGCACAGTTAATCATAAACATTACTCGTATATATGCTTGAAGGTTCGCAATCTCCTTCACATTTTCTGCATACAGATCTGAATGAACTCGACTTTTATCTTCTATATCTGCTTTCTCCCTCAACAGCTTTGTAATTTTGGATTCCAAAGTTGCAATCCTTTCATCAAACTTGGATTTCCACTCGTTCAACTCTTCATCAGTATCTACAATAAAGTAATTAAAAACTTAGAAGAAGATACCAACACTGACTCAAAGATTCTAAGACCAAAATTTTAATCAAATAAGAATGTGCAAATTTTAAACTGACCTTCATTTTCCACATCAAGGGCTGCATGACGCTTCTGCATTTCCTCATGCTTGGATTTTCTTTCCCCCGATTTTATGGCTATTTGGCCTTGTAATTTTTCAAGGTCCTTCCGTTTTACTTCAATTTGATTGATCTCCCTATCGATGTTCTGAATTTTTATGTCTAGTTCCTGCATTTGATTATTCAATTTTTCCGTTTTCTCTTCATCTTGCACAATGCCATCCCTTAGCTGGACAAAGAAAACACCCATTAATTAGTCTAATCTGGAAACCAAATTCATTAAAATCCACAATAAGGGAAGGAACTGTTGAAACTATCTGTGGTTTAATAACTTGATTACTATTCTAATATACAAATTTCCCAGTTAAAACTTCCATTAGCACCAGCAAACCCGACAAGATAATCCTAAATCAAGTTGCTCATACGAAACCAGTTTGAACAGCGCAAATAATGTGCTATTTAGTGCATGAGAGAATAAACATTAAAAATATAACATAGGAAAGTGACGGAGCTGGTAGGGGGAATCATTTTGATTATGGGGATAAAAGGGGTGCCAATTAATTGATGATCTGGATTATGACTGGAAGATGAGATCAGCAAAAAGAGGTGTGTGCATGTCATTCAGTCGTTAACCAGATCCATTCATTCACTTCCAGGCTTCTCAATAACAAAATTTCTCTAACTCCATAACCCTTTTGATGTCAGATTAAAATCATTTTCAGCACCAAAATCTTCTTCAGCAATAACCTTTTATCTCGGCCATTTTAACATTTTATTTGCCAGTTATTAGTGACTTATTAGCAGCTCCAACTGATTCCAACTTCATTAATATTGTGAGACACCAGATCAGAAAGGGTCTCTTTCAGGTGAGCCAGATGTACCACTCAAGTTTTAGAATCACCAGTTACTCACATCTTTCCCGTATAATTAACTCAATCAGCTGAAAAATTTTAAGTGTCTTTCTTTCAGTTTTTTGCCTTGGTCTTGTGTTATGTCTGAATGATCCCGGTCGATTGCTTGACGGTCATCGAATTCACTTTTGAACTGGTTGGTGGGATTGATGAAAGAAGGGAACAATAGTGAACCAACTTGAGGTGCAAAAATCTCATAAGACACCCAAAGAAGCTGCTAAGAGGAAATGGAAACTAAGGTTGAATTAAATTATAAGTATTCTCAAGCTTCTGTGTAAAGGTATATTTCTCTCTGACGACGTCCATATCTAATATATTCTTGTTTTTGTTAGAAATTGTACTTTTCACATCTGATGCTCAATTACCCTCATTGCTGGTGACGTGTTGTTCACTTCTAGAGTGAACTTTCTTTAGTTTATTCAAAATACAGATAGCCATTCTTCATGTCATACATGGCCTTCTCTCCACTCCTCATAGTCCAAAAACACGATGACACTCATACAGCCATATTCGTATATTTTTTATTTTTCGTATGAAACCATCAAATATTACGTGGTATGGAATCATAATTGATTACTTCTTGATGAAATGTTACTGAATATGTGTTTTGTTTACATGTGTTTTGTTTATAAAAAAGAAAAGGCTATAATATATTAAATGAAAAAATATCAAGGAAAAGCATGAATACATGGTAGTTTGTAAGCATTCAAAACACTTCCAAAATACGTGCGAAATTAATTAGAAAAAAAAAATAGCTAACTTCTCGTAGGTATAATCTATCATTTATAGTTGTACATGTCACCAGGAAGAAAAGTCTTTCCCGAAACAAATATTTCCATCAAAAGTGACACTCCATTCTGCACAAAAACTGAATATAAAACAAACCGCATCAATACTTCAAAAAGTTTCCATATCCAACCACCACTCACTCTAGAAGAAAGACCACATAAGCTATAATCAGAATGTTTTTAATTTCATATCCTCTTCGGACAAAATTAATTTCTACACTATTCTACAGAACTATCCCTCAGCCTTTGCCTAAGGCATTGCCTGTCTTATTAAATTAAATACTAACATTATGTTTTCATACCAAAAATATTCTTTGAATAATGCCAAGTAGTGATAAGAACCTTATAAGCAGCATCTTTCAGTGTCTGAAGGTGATCCAGTTTCAGCCTATATGTCTTTATATCTTGTGCCTGGTCCTTGTGAAGCTTCTTGATGACCTCTAATGCCTTTGTGTACCTTAGAAGATAATGAAAATTCCACAAAAACTTTCAGTTAAGACAAAAGGATTATTTTACGACGGACTAGCCAAATGAAAATGGAAAAACAATAAATGCAATGAGCAACAGGAAGACGAAAAATGCATAGAAAAAAAGTCCTCATGAGGAATTTCAATGCCACAAAATATTTGCTCAAGGATAATAAAATGGAACTATCTATGATTTTATTCCATTTTAATAACAAATGAGTTCATAAACGTTGCTGCAAACAGCAGTCTGCACACCAGAAAAATAGTAGTATTAAAAGTGATAAATAGAACTGGGTAGAACTCATCCCCAAAAGCCAGCTCAAATGGCGACCGTGCCTGAGCCCTTTTTCATTCATGTTTCCTCATTTTTCTTTCTTTAAGATATTTGGAAGGTTCTGGCACCAACAAGATCAAATGTGTTCTTGGTTGGTGGTTGAATAAATTTTCAGCTTCGAGTTGCGACGTGCAACAGACAACAAAACCCACGTTTTCTCCTTCCCAAATCGATGTTCTGTGCAGTGACAACAGTTCGAAAATCAAGAAAACATTATTTAGCAAAATTAATCTGCACAGTTTCTATGGTCCAATGTCTTACTGGAGCTAAGCCTTATCAGGGCACATCCGAATTATTCTTTAGATCTTGTTATTGTCATTTTTGGGACGTTTTTAGAATAGAAGGTCAATATGTTACCTGTTGTTTGTAGGTTGATTTTTTATGATCATGACGAGTTGGTTCTTGATGTTTGGTATAGAACTAAGCCTACAGAGGCGTTGTATGCCAGAGATCAGAGGTAAGCACACTCATGATTGATTGATTGATTGATTGATTGATATTTTCTTTTTCCGTGGACGACGGATGACCCAATCACTCATCCACTTATAACAATTTTCTTCTTTTTATGGATAAAATGTCTGTTAATGGAAAACAGTATATATAAAGAAAAAAACTCTTGAATCTCTGATAACAAGAGACTGGTAATAAATACATATATTATATTATATGTTTAACTGATGCACTCCATATATTTACAAGAGACTGGTAATAAATACATATATTATTTATCCCTTTAACTGATGACTTCATATAATCAATATAATATAAATAGAGAGCAGCTTTTTTATTTTTTATCCCTTTAAATTATTTATACATGATACCACAGCCTTAAGGTTCGACCATAATTTCAACAGTGCCATGGTTCCTAACAAAATATGCTGAGATTGACACACTTCATAAAATAAAATCTCGAACAATGAATGATTTGTACTCCATTTGCACAAACCACACAACAAGTTGGTTCTGTTTTGACTAAGGCTTGTTAGAAAGCAAATTGAGCTACGCACCAAATCGAGCACGATAATATCGTTACACCACCTTAAGGGATGTGTTGGCAAATCAAAGAATAAAGGATTTATTTGAGTTGGTGACTTAGGGAATTAAATATTTATTTGATATTTGAACAGTTAAGAAAGTCGCATGTTAAGGATAAGGAAATGTTCCCATCCCTAACTATGAAAAAAAAAAATCTATTATATATTTCATTTGTACTAAGCTGTGCACTCTGCATCGTCACTGAAATAAGATCAGCTCTAATGTCATATGCAACCAACACATAATAAGAAAAACATAAATGTTCTTCTCTACTGCATACCAATAAAGACTACAGAAGGCTAAATAGAATCAACTCAAGAAAGCCCTATACCAAGATTTTGAAATATCCAACTTCAATCAGTAGAGGGAAATCAAAGAATTGTAACGATGTTCAATTCTTATGTTGTACCAATGTGATGACTTTCCTAAATTTTACATTGTTTTCTGTTATCCATTTTCCCACATTATACCAACAATGATGCGTTAAAAAAAGATTATGTTCAATCATTCTAGTAAATAGAACTAAAGAAAAAAAAAAAAAAACAAAGAACCTCAAAAAGAGAAACCAAATAAAAGGTAAGAAGAAAACTCATTGAGGCCTCACCTCTAACCCAACAAGACATACCTAGTTGCAGAAAAAATATCATCAAACTTTTTTTTCAGTGTTGATGGATCTTGCAAAGGCCAGTTTGCCTCATCCTGGTGGACAAATATGACATTCTCCAGAATAGCCTTAGAAACCCCCATAAGAGCAGGAATTTCCCGATCCATATCAGCACATCGATAGCTCAAGCAAACTTTCTGTCATTTTGAACAATAATAAACATCCTGAGACTGTAACTCAATATGAGACAGAAATATGACTCATCCCAATCAAAAGAATTGGTATCCACACAAGGCAGAAGTATGAGAAACGCAAGGTCAAAACCACTCGTGGAAATCACTCTATTGTAAGACATCAATAAAAAATTTCACATGGAACAAACAAATTACATAAATAAAGACACAGAATAAGTCCTGGTTAATCAAAAATCAGTATCTATTCAGGTCTCCCAGATTACGACTTACGATAGGGTCCTTGATGTTGGAAAACTACAGCATACCTCATCTTGATAAACATCGACATATTTTGGGATAAAATGCAATTTTGGTTTTACAATCGTCTATAATAAAAGAACCCTTAAAAAGTTATCTTTGCGCAGAAGTGCTCTCTCCATCTTGTTCTTCCAAAAACCTTACTAGCCTATTTAATTTGAATCAATCCACAACATAACCAATGATTTTAAGAGAAAACAATTTGCAAGAGCATGCTTTGCTGTACATGTCATTGACTTTGGATCATCATTATGAAATCAAAATTCGGGAGAGAGCTTTTCTCACCCTTTTTGTAGGGTTGGCATACATATCGATATTCAAGAGAGGTTCTTCCTTCAGACCTCAAAAAACTTGACAGCAAATAGTCAGATTTACCTTTTGCTAGGAATGTGCTATTCTTTCAAATGTCATGCGTAAAACAGCCGAACCCGAGTCTCACTATATCTCCTATTTTTACAGCTGAGTTTATTTTACAATTTCATATTTCAGTGCCTGCAAATTAGTTAATATCATGATAAGATCAGTATTTGCCAACACATCCTTCACGATCAACAATTGCACCAGGACCACCTACTTTTTAACAATTACTATCTTTTGCTGTCTTAAAGCTTCAATATAGCCCTAATTAAAATGTTTCTTTAAATACACGAGTAAAGAGAGCAAAAGCAGAAAGGGACATATTAAAGTATTATTGGAAGATCTATCTTATCAAAGAGTACACATCCAATTACACTTGACCCTCTATAATTCCATCCAAATTCGATAGATCATCAAAGATTCTATTTTTCAGAAGGCTAAACGGCAGCAAGAACACGATGGTTCATTCACCGAACGGCAGCAAGAACACGATGATTCTATTTGATAGATCATCAAAGATCCTATTTGTGCTCATGAATCTTAATTTCCTAACTTTTGCTTTTCTAAGAGAAGGTAACATCCAGAGTGAAAAGTTCCTTACATAAAATAACGCATGTATATCACGTCTCTCAAAATAGCTCTCTTCACCATCCTTTAAATCAAATTGTTACACATTTCAATGATTCAAACCAAGGAAAAGGAAGGATCGTCAAATGAGGAAAGAGTCACAATAATATTTGCATGGAAAAAAATGCTACAAGAAACCCAACTTTACGACTTCATATCATTTGCCCCTCTAGAAGTCCCAAATTTGCAATAATTTTATCGAATCTACTGATTTTGTGATTAAAAATGCAATGGAAGTGGAAGTTTCATGATAACAATATTGTACGATTAGGAAAACAATGATTGCCGATTTAACGAAAGAAAATGGACATAAGAAGTTGATTATTGAGTAAACAAAGAAATTGCACATCCAAATAATATGAGATGAGTTAATTGCATTTTGCCTCAAGACCATAGCATTTTATCCAATTCACAAACGGAACTTTGAGAAAGAAATGTCATCTAAACTATAAAACTAGTTCCACTTTCTTACGTCAACTAACCAAGTGTTAACATGTGATGATTATGATATATCCAAGAAAGCTCCCGAAAAAATAAGTCTCATATGTTCAAATTTCAGAAACAAAATGGTGATCTCCAAAGTTTAGTAGACAAAGTGCAAAAGTCCACAACAGTTTTGGCTCGAAAATAGCAATTATCTCTTACGGAAAAAGATCTCTCCAGGCCATCGATCGTCTAAAGCTTCACTCTGCGACCCCATCAACTGAGATATCAACTATTCGAAGGAAATACTGATTCGCCTCGTAATTGAATTTTCTGGAATCCTAGAAGTTGTACTACTATCATCCAGAACCATAGTCATGCAAATTAGTTTCTTGCATGGCTATAAAAACGCAAAATCAGCTAATTGAAGGCAATGCACTACAAAAGTGAAGAAAGCGAAGGTTCACTAGCCCTAGTTCAGGCATTAATAATCCACCAAGAACAGAAACCACATAAAAAATATTGGCAAAAAACCTTAAAACTGATGACTCTGGTCTCACACATATCATAAGTAAAACACACTGGCTGCCAAATTATATACAGTATGATAAATAAATGCACTGAAAAAAAAATGAAGAGAAAATGATACTGATAAAGAGGTAATTCCTTATGTTACTTCTTTAATTACTACAAATGATTATTACCTCTCCAGTTTGAGGATTTAGTGTTTGGAGCACAGACTCAATTGCTTTGTACTCCATCTTGGTGGCCTTCTGAGTTAGCTGAAATGACCTTATGCAGACTACATCCTTCCTTGCTGCTGTCTTAAACCTCAGCTTTATCTGCCCTTTTGTCTCTGTCTCTCCTGCCACCTACAAGCAACATACATTAACAAAGCGTACAAAACTACAAAGTCGCACTTATATTTTATAAATAAAACCAAAAAAGAACATAAATAAAGAACAAAACAAAGTTCTTACCTTTGGGTCATGAATGAAGCTGTGACCCGACCTTGCATTTGGAGGTAGCTCGCCCGTACAGGCTACTTTCAAACACTCAATAATAGTCTACAAAAAAAAAAAAAATGATTGATATATATGTACTACTGAAGTTTTTCAATAGACCATCCTCACACTCAAAAAGAAACATCAAGGGGAAGTGAGATCTGTGCAGGCACAGGAAAACACATTAGTTTGGGTCCAACCCCATTTCATATACTGAACTTACAAAAAATGAAAATATAAAGCATTGAGTGACTATAGACCATTGCAAAATGAAAAAGAACATAATTTATGTCCAATAATCAACAAACTCTAAAATGTCCATGCCAAAAAAGCCCTTTTATTTCCACAGAATATCATGATATCCTTCATGTTTCCGATTTCTAATGGGTAATATCAGTTTCTCAGATTCAGGGGAATGAATGAGACACATATAGTGGACAACTTCTTATTGCTCCAAACCTTACGACTAATACTTTATGCATAGGCCAACAAAATGTGAACTGCTTCTTTTGCATAACATGTGGATATGTGACAAAACCATTTTCTCTTGGTGTCTGATTCTACTTCATAAACATAATATTGTGACAGTTAATCCTTAAGAATGAACAACAAAACAGATTGAAACTTATAAAAGTAAGTTGAAAAATGGATATCAGTCTAGAGCTGCGAATGTATTCCATAAAAACACAAAAGTCACTTCTCTATACATGAGTTGAATGATGCTACTTAACTGTGAACTGAATAATAAATGCACGAAAAATAAGATACTGTACTTATCCAAAAACCGGGATATGCTTTTCCGAGCAATTTACACCCACGTCGAAAATAAGACTTCACAGCAGAATAGACTGTGAAATGCATAACACCTACACATGAAATGAAATGGGGGATGAATTTACCGTTTTTCCAGCACCGTTGGGCCCCACAATGAGAGTTAACGGCTTGAAGAAGGTAATAACGTTCTTGTTTTCCGGGTCGAAACTCCGGATTCCCTTAATCAACATTTTATCGACAGTACTCATCCTTGTCCAAACAGTTCCTTTTCTTCACAATTTCTTTTTCGTTGCTTTACTGATCTTCACAAAGGCAATGGAAGAGAAAGCAAAATTATGAGGATCATCGAGGATTAACAATCACGGCCAGGAAGGGCTTTCTAGAGGAAGAGGGGAAGAAATGAGAACTTAAAAGGGTATGTTTGTTTCAACCGGAGAGAGAGGGGAGGGATTTTTATGTAGAAAGGGAGATAAAGGAGAGGGGAAGTAGCGTAAAATAATTTTATCTTGTGCGAGGGATTTTATACGAGGAGAGGTGAAGGAAAATGATAAATTTTGTTTGGTTTAAAAGGTAAATGAATAAAAAATAAAATTATATAAATAAATATACCTTTTTTTATTATGTAATTAGTACATAGTCCGTGCAATGTATGGGGTGTACAATTTTAAGACTATTTATCCAGGCTTATAATTATATACGTGAATACATAAAAATGTACGGGGACATTTATAATTATATACGTGAATACATAAAAATACGGGGACATATATAGTACGTGACTCGTGCGAGACACGGAATATATTTATTTGGGAATATTATATTATAAGATGCAATATTCAATAAAAGTTTTATAATATGCAGGAAAATTGTACAATAAAATAGTATTCATCAAAGAAACAATCATATATTATTAAACACCTCTTTGTACACAACAGTTTGATTATTGAGCAACTCGTCATTCACAAATCAGAACAGATTTTTCATACAATAATAATAATATTTTTTGAAAAAAGATAAGAAGGAATTTTCAATTTACACAAACTTTAAACATTAGATGTATTTACGTAAATCAATAACTGTATAGACAACTAAACCCTTCAATTTAGGCTTGACATCTGCTTTATTTATGGGTGACGTAGAATAAAGATTTAATTTTGACCGATTAAATCTTTATAGGCTTGACATATAAAATCGATTTTGTGAGATTTATTTAACTAAATCTATACTTACCTTTGACTTTTCCAGCAAAGGTAAAAAAATCGATTTTGATTTTTATCCCATAACAAATCTTTAATGTCAAGCATATAAATACCAAAACAAATCTGTAATTAATGTCATTCTATTTCCAACAAGCATTTACCTTTGACTTTTTTACCTACTATTTCTAGTAAATAGGATGGCTTTTTATATAAGTATAGATATTATGTATGTACATAACTCAACTAATAATACTCTTGCCAAAAATAATCCATTGCTATAAATTGATATTCTTGTCAATAAACAGCCACAAAAGAAGTAATGATAAAAAAACCGATGCCATATTTTTAATAAGATTCAAATCGAATAATTTTTTCTTTGCAAGCATATCACAAATCAATGAAACATCGCAAATCATATTTTATTAGATAGAGTTTATAATATAAGTACAAAATATCATACATAAACATAGTAGAAGTATAATAAAATCCTACAAATATCCATACCGCCATAACTGCATCAACATACACAAAATAATATCTTTTGCCCTCGGGCTGTTAAAGGCGTCGGAAAGAGGTTCTTTTCACCACGTAAGCTATTTTACCCCAGTCATTCTAACAAAAATCAAAAGAGACAGTTTTTTTCCACCATAATAACAACTTAAACTTCAAATAAACTAACCTAAGTTTTAAATTTTCAAAACACGTGAAACCACATAACAACATCTTTTTGCTCAAAATGGTGGATTGGAGGTGCCAAATATTGTTCTCATGATAACATCCTTACGAGCTCCGGGCGGACATTGAACAACACATTGAAGTTTGTCAATGTTACTTATAAGAAAACAATAGATGTTCGTCAATAAATTATTTTATCAAACTCACATTTCTTAAGTAAAGTCCACGTTTTTCCACCAGAAATTGGAGGAATTTTGTGGCATTACATGTCTTTGAATAGTTTATTTCCTTCTCGTAGTGCAGTAGCGACGTTATCTATTGCTCATGTAATAATCTCAAACTTGGACGCTTTATCCTTCATTGCATCTTCTTTTTTTTATTTTCTTATCAGTGGTTCCACTGTTTGCCCCACTAGAAAGATGTTGAGTAGAGAAACTAGAGATATCATTATCCACGTCAATAGAATCACCAATAATTTTCAAGATAGCTTCATTTTGAGATACAAGGTTGTCAACGTCATCGATTGTTGTGGTAAATGGATTCTCAGTAGATGAAGCTCGTCTCTTTCTCATCTCAAATGCGGTCTCCGCATCCTCACCAGTTGCTCTATCATTTCCATATAAAAGCACCATTTTCTCATAATTTGGAAATGGAGTAAATCTCAATGTTGTTGCCTATTATTGGTTTGTTTTTTTTTTGTGCAGTAAAAAGTCATAAACAATATGTTATATACTTAAATAACAAACTAACAAACATGATAATAAGAATGATATAAATGAAAAATTAATAATTACAACCTCAATCAAAGCATCTCATACTCGTGGTTCCACATCTCATAGTTTTGTTGTTGAATTCCAAGAAAACCAATTCATTCCACTTCTAAAAATATCACAGACTTTTGGAAAAAAACATCTTCAAAGTTTTCCATCGATTTTTCACTTTCTAGTTATCAATCTTTTTGTCAAACAAGGCACTAAGCTCTTTCACAATATTCTCATATGCAGTAGTAGTGAAAGTACCATTAACTTTATTACCACAGTTATGCTTATTAACAAAAGCAACAACAGAGGATCATCCATACTTCTTGTCCAAGTTAAGTTCTATTTACCTAATATAGTTGGACACGGAGACTTTATGGGACTCATACTACAAAGTTTAAAACAAATGAGACATGCATATTAGAATTTAAACCAAAATCTTAAATGATAACAATTACAACTATTTATGTGTACAACTAATTTGTATTTTTAACTTTTTCAATCAAATTTTATGTTTTTTATTTTTTTCATTTTTTTATTTACAAAAATATTTACAAATTACAACATAAATATTCAATTATTGATACATTTGAAATTATAAAACAACATCAAATAAGTTGATGTGGTACATCCGTACCAAAGTAGATGTGTTGGGCGAAAAAGAAACTGAAGACAAGGAAAGAGATAAAAGGCTAAAAGCAAAAGGCAACAAAAAATATTAATATTAATAAAGTCAATGCACAAGACAAAAGATCCCACATTGGAAAAAGAAAGAAAAACAGCTTGGTATTTAAATGATAAGCTAGGCCTTGCAAAGCGTCACTTACTGCTGCTCAAGCTTGAAGCCGTTGGGCCGGCTGACCCGGTAGCGGTTGTCCGGTTTTACCGGTTTTTAGCCGGCTCAAGTGGTTTAACACCGGTTTTGACCTCAAGCGGTTTTATATATCAACCCGGACCGGATCACTGGTCGGTTCACGGTTGAACTGGTCGAACCGGCCGGTCCGGTCCGGTTTTGAAAACTATGCTTAATACTGTACGATCTAATTAGTTTTATCTATTAATTCATATTTTGTATTAATTGTTTTGTGTGTTTATGTTCATATTTTGTGTTAGGATCATAGCTTGATCAACTATTGTCTTATGCACTTAATCTATTGCTTGGTAGATATTAAGTCGGATTTAGATGATTTATTTATCGTAAGTGCATAATATTATACACTTAATGAATTGGTTTATAATCCTAGTTATCCAATTAACAAGAGAATAAAGAGAGTAATAGTAAACAATTCTTAAACAAGAGATTCGCAAGCAAACAACAAGATGAGGATGAAAAATATTACTCTATTGCTCCGGTTGAATTGATTTCCACCCTGAATTATTCTACTAATCCTTGATGCAAATATTTTCAATTCATAACTACGTAGTTGCCGTTGATGAAGAATTCTCTCTCCTAAATTGGCTATGCAAAATAAATCCTTCTACACAACCCTTATTACTAGGCAATTCCCAACATCGTGTAAAAATTATCCTAGCAATAGCATTAAGAATTAGAGACCGATAACACAAGCAACAAATAGCTAATCCGTTAAATGCTAACTTGTATAATTATTTTGCCTAAGAATGATAACGCCTAAATCCAGTCAATTACCACAATCAGTTGCTTCTTACGATAAATAAATCATCTAAATCCGACTCAATGTCTACCAAGCAATAGATTCAGTGCATAAGACAATAGTTGATCAAGCTATGATCCTAACAAAAAATCATTAACATAAACACATAAAACAATTAATACGAAATATGAATTAATAGATAAAACTAATTAGATCTCACAGTATTAAGTTCGGGGTTTCAATCGTATTCAACCGAAGCAAAAGAGAATTAGCCGCACAGGGCCTCCATAATATCTAGCAAAAGTATATCCAAATAATCTAGAGAAAAGGAAGTGAGGACTTGAAGGTGTTGCTCGAGAAAATCCTTTCTTTCTCTCTGCTCCTTTCGGCTAGTACGTCCAGTGTAGGTCTTCAAAAGAAATTGATCTCCTCTGTTTGTCACGGTTCTCCTTTAGTAATAATCATGGCCCTAGTATTAATAGGCCCATATTCAACAATAATAACCGGCTGGTCGTATGTTCCTTGAGAAATCCAACATTGCCATGTCCAACAAAATTCCAGCACTGGCATGTTGGTTATACCGATAAAGCAATGGTAGTTTCCACTCCAAATTATAAGATAAGGTCGAAAATATACCAATTAAGCACGAATATCCAACACATAGTCCAAATTGCACAATAAAAGTAGCACGTATTTTCGACTTATCAAACATACAGTAGTATTACCATTTATATAATCTGCAACACAATTCACACATGTTTGGAACTTATCCAAAATTAGCATTTTGGAACAAAAATGCTAATCTAAGCCTCTCTTCATGAAACTATTCAGATAGATGATCTTACCGGCCATATCCTTAATTATGGCTCTAACATCAAATTTTACCCCAAACCTTCCTTTGCCAAACACAACCGTAATCTCTATCATGACTTTATAACGTTTCATCACCAATCTATCATTTTTATTTTATATTCCATAATTTATACTCGTGAGGCCACCACTTCTAAAAAATATATCTATTTGCCATTGATTCAATTGCAACTCTGTAATATGGCTTCCCTCGGATTTTATTTTTATTTTTATTTTTATTTTTTTGTTTGGCTTAGAATTTAAAATTTGTGTTTGACTGAAGTGTACACTTTTATTTTTTTATTCAACTTCAGCATTTCAATGTAGTTTCTCCATCATTCAAAAAATAAAAAATAAAAAATAAATAAATTGGTAGATAATATCAAAATTAATAA